TCCTTCGGTCTGGGACTGTTAGATCTGGAACGTTCGTTTCTACTTTTGTGATGAACGGGAAGTCTTGTAGATGTGGCCACAGATTTTCTTTGCTTTACTCCTTCCTGATCTTTCTGGCGCCAGAACTCACTTGCGTGCTGCATGGGATAACGCTTTTCTTGATGCTGGTAGGGAGGTTTCATTAACACGACTTGAGAATCGCTCAAATATGGCTGATCGCTACAAGAAGGATTAGTGGTGTTGTACTGTATGTGGATGGGCCTTCTGCTTCGAGGCTGATGATCAGCGAAATAGTGGAACTGTTGTTGTTGTCCTATACCAATAGAATGCTTAGGCGACGAACTATAAACATCAGGAGAGGGTGGAGTTCTTGAAATGAACTTATTACCATGTCCACCGTATTGCTGTTGATAAAACATGGGGTTACTTATTTCTGGAGAACCTAACGATTGTCGGGAACGACCAATGAGATTACACGGGTGAGGACGCAGAGTATGATGGCCAAAATGAAGTGTGGCTAGCTGGTTGTCAGAGTTGCAATGTTTTTGGCTGTTCGAAATACAAGAAACATCAGAAGCAGTTACATCAGCACCGCCTTGGGGAAGCAGCTGTGGGATAGTGAATGGTGACGCGCCAGATGTGTTGAGATCAGTTTGCTGCTGAAACTCCTGCTGCACTTGGACACGGTTAAAAGTATTACCATCATACGAGAAGGACATGGGTCTGGTGGAGTCCTGGTGACTAGTCGGAGTACACAGTAACCGACGTTGAGGATCGCGCGGTGGTGGAGGTGGCGGACCTTGCTTCACAGCCACAAATCCAGAACTGATATTGCCACTTCTGCAGTCCAAACTGCGCGACGGCTGAAGTCTTGCCACTGGGAATTGCACCACCATCACATCCTTGGAATCAGGAAAAGAGGAGCCACCAGAGGCGCACCCGTACTTGGGTGTAACACGATTAATGTTACTGTCAAATGATAAGCTCCGTTGGCCTGGCTGTTGGAACTCGATGCATTCTCTGTCAGTTCTCCCAGCTGCACTGTATTCAAAGGCCTGTTTGTTTAGTCTTTTGTCGTTTATTTGGGCACGAGGAATTCCTACATTAGAAATAGATTCAACACTTCTGTTCGATGGTAATAACGGCGAAGGCCCGAGAGCACGAACTCCGTGCTGTGGAGTCTTGCGATCCAAACTGTTTGTGGTACCTGATGTGGCGAAATGAATGTCATGGCTGGGAAGAAAAGTTGAGGTTGATGCATCGTACCGCAGTTGAGAACAAGACGGGGCAGAAGTCGTGTAATGCAAAATATTTTTAGGTCTAACTAGTGGGCTGTGTCTTGGGCTGGGTGTTGCTGAAGAAGCTCTCAAAAATAACTTGGGATGGTCAATATCACTGGATTCTTGATGTACAGTAGTAACAGCTGCCCACCTGTTTCCAGTCGGAAGACTTTTGTTTCTGCTCACAGAAGGTTTAAAGCTTCCTTCTGCATCTGATTTACAAAGCCTCTGCTGTCTTTGGAATTCAATTTCTGTAGCTTCCTTTTTCAGAAGCCCTTCTTCGTCCCGTGACAAGCGTTTTATGTACCGCTCAGTTCTTGCAATTCGGGATCTCCTATTCAAAGACCCGTCCCTCTGAAGAGATACAGACAGCGTGTCGTCACTTTTAAATCGTGACAATGGCGAACTTACGGATAAGTCGCCTTCTTCAGAACTCGAGTCTGCTCTCTGGCGATCCCGAAGAGCCTCCGCCCTCGCCTTAAGAGCATCACGCCTACCCCGTCGAGAACTGGAGCTCTGTTCCAAAGAACCCGATCCGCCACTACTGTTGCGGGAGAGACTGGAGTCTTGCCGCGTGTGGCGCTGGTACGATTCACGACTTGATCGTGAAGATAACCTATCAACACTCCCTCCTTGACGGGGTTCTCTACTTCGGCTGCGCTGCCCATCATCTGCTACTTGAATGTCCTTCCCTCTCAACAATGCATTGGCGTTATTATCCCGAACGCAACCATTCACTTCGCCTGCTGCATTTCTAACCTCACTGAACACAGGCGGTTTTAGAGTGTGTGTTAAAGGGTTCACAACAATATGATCAAAATTGGCAATTGCTCTATTAGTTCGAGACTTTTTCTTTTCTCTTCGAGAACGACGACGTGCCAGGAAACCCTTACGCGGAGCGTGCTGTTCCTCCTCATCCTGGGAACTACTTTCTGAACCGATATCCTTCTTACGCCTCCGAAACAAACCACCAAGTGACCACTTCTTCCTTTTCTCGACAGGTTCCTTCTCTCTGTTACGAATAACAGGAGGATAGATGAATCCTGTTCCTGGACTAAGAGTTGGCCTGCACCCGTCGCTCCAATCTTCCCCGCCGCTGGTTCGTACTTGTAATGTGGGCACTCCGCCTATTGTCTCCATGGTGGCACTTTGTTCCGTCGCTTCCAAGGGTCGAGCCCGAGGTGCTGTGCTCACCGTCTGTAATGGAGATCATTCGTTAGTTATACTAACACAGTCAAAGACAATACGCTTGAACACAAACACTGTCAAAATATAAAATTCAAATGCACACAACAGCTCAGGATTCGTGAACCACAAGAGAATGGACAGGCGTAATGGATCATTAACGCTTCGAATAATAGCATCTAAGACCTTCAGAATCTGCCAAAAAGAAAAATAAAGGCTTTTAGATAAAACCTGAATTTGAAACACTTTGGTTCTTTAAGAAAAGAGACAATCGTGGCACATGGCATTATATCCTTCTATAAACAATGCTACTTTTGTTACTTAAATGCTACATAATACTAACATTATAATAAAATATGCACAAGTCTACATAACTGAAATACAGGAAGTATGTATATTATTAGTAATCTCGTGAAAAAAAATAAGAACAAGCCAGAATTCGAAGACAGCTCGAATGGAAATGCCAACTAAACTAAATAATAAATCGAATAAACATTTACTGCAAGGTTCAAACTGTGATCGTATCAAGGAGTTCTTAAAACAATTTCCTCAATCCAACATGTTTTCGGTGAAATAAAAAATTAGGCCTACAATTAAAACAAATGTGACAAGCAGAAGGGAAACTATTTTTCATAAACACAGACACCTGAGCAACACCTCTTACAAGTTAAATTCACCTGTGCTCATCTTTTAATAGAAAGCAACTCACCCTCTTGAGGAAATGTTTCACAAAAAGACCTTCCATTCCACAACTGCTGTATCCTATCGCGGAACGGCACCAACTAAAATTCTTGCGCACGGCATGCCTGAGCTACCACGAGCTGCCTGCCATCCTACACGTAAACTCATTGATCTCTTTGATATCGCATTGGAATACGAGTATATTCTGGCCAGCACATCACATCACAGCACAGGGGCCCTTGAGTTCCAAAACCACTCGGAGGCTATTTATACCGACCGGACAGACGTTCGCTCGCCCGACCTCTCAGCACACCCAAACTGCTTACATGACTGGTCTATGCCACAAATATCCAGACCTTAAACCTAATTAACATATTTTCTGCACTGGTTTCTCAAAAAGGTAGGAATTATGGATATTTCAAAAATACTGCTGAATCAAGGGGCTCTGACACCAATACAAGGTGAAAAACTACAAATTTTGTAATGGTCTAACACAGCAATGGCGCTTCATATTCAGTTCTTGTGTGTTATATGCGTGTTCTGACAACAAAAATGTCTTCGATTCTCTGCAATAAGACATAGTAAGGCTCCCAGACTTCTAATTTTGGTCCTTTGATTTTAAAGTCATCTGCACGGTACTAATTTCATAGGATATTGGCGGTATGTTACTTCATATGTTGACACATGTTTTTTCTGCATTGTTAATCAAACATAACTATCAGAGCTAGGCAATTAAAGACAATCACCTTACTGACCGAAAGCCCTGATTCCAGTTTATCGTTAATAACGAAACAAACAAAAAATAGTTTCAGCAGAAAACCTCGTAATAATACGCATATGTATTGAAGATTTTCCTAGCCATTCCATTTTGCGATAAAACGGATATCCTTGGCAGTATATACATCCTCTTCGACCTCCATCACACGATGTAAATCGTTA